AGCGAGTCTAGTCATGCAGCAGTGCTGCTCTTCTCTGCTTCAAATTTGTCTGCCTCCCGGACCGCCTCCCCTCGACTCTTCACCGCGCTCGCAGGCACCCAATGCCTACATCACATGTACTGGTCAAGCTCGCAGCTGGATAGTAGTGCATATGTCAAACGATGCCAGGAGGTTTTCGCTGTCCGCAGAGCGCTTTGACACGGAGATCTCAACGGTAAAACTGCCACTTCCGAGGTCTGATCTCACGTCCAGACGAGGTTGCGCACAATTTTCAAGGGTCCTCGCCCACACAGATGCTTACATACTTTCCCGAGCAGGTCGCTTGTATGCAGGGGTCATGCTACAATCTGAATCACGAATCGTGATCGAAGAGGAAGCCGAGCGAGCATTGTCCGTCGAGCGATTCACAAATCGCGCTTCGCTCGACGTTCGTCACGATCTCATCGCTGGCGTTATGCGGTCCTGATCTGCCCCGTGCCTTGCGCCGGGAAGAATAAGATGCGGTCCCGTGCGGTCCCGAACACGGCTTGGCTACTGTGACTCGTCGAATGGCTGCTCGAAGCTGTACCTTGCTTTCCGTTGTGGTGGCTGCGGCTCGCGACGATCGAGGTGCCTAACCGGCGCCGCGGTCCACCTGCAGCGACCCGAGCTTGGGCCTCCTCGGCATACAACAAGCACAAACAGGCTTTTAGGGGGTGATCCATCTCATCTATCTTTCCTCGCTCCCTTCTTCGCAAAGGGGCCCGGATCAGAGGGTCCGAGAAAAGTTCGTGAGCCCTCACCCACGACCCTCACATTCACAATTGAAGAAAGACAGGAATTCCTTCGCGATTCCTTCCACCGTCCCTGCCATTGACCTTACCACTGATCCTCGCGTTTACGATTGTCCTTCTCCCTCACGTAGCCCTTATTGCCAAGTCAGGCACCGTTGACGCCCGTCACCGGCTCTTAAGCTTGAGCGAGAGGTACAAGACACGCCAGCCAACCCTAGCCTAACCACGCTCCCAAACATATTTTCGCCCCTCATCAAGCCCGCATTGACGATACGCAGCACCCTGGCCTCGTCCGCCGGTGCTCAGCCAAAGCTTCGCCCAAACATTTCGGTGAGTCCGAACGAGGATCGATGTTTGTACGGCTGCCCATCGTGAGACCAGCGTTCATTCGCTAGAGGTGTGGGCGCAGGACCGCTCACCTTCGCTCAACATCAGAGCGTTGCAGAATGGCTCACAGCGTAGAGTGGGATGCTGCGCCGGCGCAAGTGCCGCAAGCTTGCCTCGACGAAGTTTGCTCGCGCAGCTTTTGCACGCCTTTCATGGGCGCACGGCTCGTCAGGGCTGAGCATTGCGTGCGCTCTGCCTGTATCGGACCTCTTTGCAAAGCGACATGTGGTCGTCCATGACGGAGAGCAGTGGCGCTGTCCCAACCCACATGCGAGGGCTGTGTACATCAAATGCGGCGTGGCGTGGTCATGAAGACCACCATCATCCCACAAAGCCACTAGCAAGTGCTTTGCGAGTGCTCTTCTTTCGTTCCGCCGCTTTCGATCTCGTATCGCTGGCCGCACAGGCAATGGAGCGCAGAAGAGGCAGCGAGAAGCTCAGCCAAGCTGGCGCATCCAGTCGTGGAGCCTCAGTCAAGCGGCGTGCAGCGGTGCAAGCTGCCAACGACCTCTCCCTGTACTATTTGCATTCACTGGCTGGTGTCTCTGTCCGAGCACACACGAAGGAAAGACGCGCTGATTCTGGCTCTTCACATTCACGCAGGCTTCATCCCGTTAGCCAGCGTGCATCGTTCATCGCCTCAGATTCTTTACAGGCTCCAGGCTCAGCCTCTCTCTCATCAACACGATATCGAGGCTCGACGGTCTCCTCCACCTCCTCATCCCGGCAGCCTCGAGCGAAGGCGGGACCTTCTCTCGCACCGACGTTCGATCTCCAGATCCCTTCAACGTCTCAACACCAGCACCGACTTCCCAGTCCACATTCTCGAGAACGTTCACTTCAGCAATCTGGTTCTCCCAAAATCTGCGAGTTCAAGGACAGCGAGACAAGACTTTCTACCAGTCTTCACAAGACCTCGCAGGCCAGTCCATCAGCTTCAGCAGAGCTTGTTCCCGGTCGCTATCTCGCAGAACGCTACTCCACCTCACATTGCCGTCGTGAGGAGCTTCAGGAACTGCTGTCATCGCCTCGCGCTTCCGAGGCCACGCGTCCCTCCCATTCTCATGAGATCTGGTCGCTGGCTCTGACCTCCACCAGCTCTCACTCGGCAAGTGCTGGCAGTCCCACCCCCTCGCGTCGTTCTCCCTCAGCTTGTGACGTCCAATTACTTGACCTCGTCTCGACGAGCGTGCGGCACCGAAGGGGCCGAAGTCACGGTCAAGACGAACGATCACCTGCAACCAGTCGCTCTCAAGGGACCACAAGCTCACAGCTACTTCCTGGCAAAGGCGGTGACAGAATCGCGCAGACTTGGAACCACTCCAGCATACTGACTAGGAATAGCTGTACTGCGACAGCATCCTCTCCTAAGCTTGGCTCTTCAAGCAGCCCTCGACCAGTGTCTGCAATAGACATGTCACCCACTTGCGCAGACCGCGTGTCAGAGCTAAACACCATCAGCGGTGCAATGCCAACGGTCTCTGAAGATGCTGGAAGCGCCACGGAGACAGAGCGTACACCAACACCTCATTGGCGATCAAGGTTCGAGCCATCACCTGTGGCGCACCAACGTAAAGCTTCTCGTATCACAGTACAACTCCACAGACGAGGTCAAAGCGATGTCGGTGTGACGTCGAAGTCTCAGCTTGCGGGTGACGGTGATGTTCCAAATCGCGAACATGAATCGCAAAGAGGCCCGACGCAGAGCAATGATGTAGAATGCATGGAGGTGCTGATCGTGGGCGGACTTCCAGCAGCGGGACCGACCCGCCCTACAGAGCGCAGTTCTCGCTCTCGACCTCGCGCCAGCACGCTCAGCATTCCTAGTTTTCACCCGTCTGTCGCAGACCCTGCGCCAGAGCGAGAGCTTGCCGGTGAGCACCGCGACCGACGTCGCAGCAAAGTTCTCTTTCAACAAAAGCTTGTTGCTCGACACGCACGCAGCGCGTCAAGAAGTGAGAAGGGTGAAGTGGTCCCCACTGCTTCGTCGCGACCTCGGCGGAGATCGAAGAAGCCCTTACCATTGGAACGCCCAGCTGTACCAGCACGTCGAGCATCGAAGAGCAACGTGCTTGGCACTGCTGAAGTCAGGCTCCACAAAGATCAGCTTGAGTGGGAAGATCACACGCTAGCTACCGCCAAGCTGTTCATCGACTGTGGTTACGGCACGTTCTCGGTCCCATCTACCCTTCATGAAGCTGGCATGCGATGGCCGAAAGCCGCTGGACAAGGTGCTCCAGCATGCAGGAGCGCGAGAAGTACAGGACAGGCGACGCCCATGTCACGCATCACCTCAGAATTTGCAGAAGAGGTAGAGGCGTGGAGCAGCTCGGATGAAGAGGGGCATAGCCAAGACCAACGTAGTCGACGTCAGCTGGAGGCTTTCAGTACTCCTCTGTCTAGTCCACGCACCGCTTTCGGCTTCAGCGCTGTGCACCAGGCTCAGGGTAGAAGTCGCGCTGCCCTTCGTAAATTGCCGCCGTCTTCATCCGCGATTCTATACGAGCGAAGACCTCTACCTCTGCCGCCTGTGTCTGGGTGCGATGGATCTGCACTCAACCCACACTGCTCGAGTAATCTTGTGCAAGTAGGCAAGGAGAGCTCACTCCTTCTCCATATCGGGCAAAGAAGTACATGTCAAGATCTCATGTCACGAGCCGTGGACCAAGCTGCTGCTCAAAACATGCTGCGAGTACGCAGTAGCTCTAGCATATCTTCCGACTGTAGCGAATCAACCTGCGCTTCCAGCTTGATGTGTATTCCTGGCGACGAGGTGACGGTAGCGAGGGAAGGCCTATCGAATTGGTCATCCCCAGCCAGCTCTCGTCCGTCTCTATACTCACCTGATGCATCGCCAAGCAGCTTCAGGGGACGCGATCTACCTCCCGTGCTCACTATCAGCCCCGGACACAGTGCCGACCTCAACAGAACCAGCCTTCAACAGGAGTTGTTCGCTGCGCCGGGCAAATACCGTAAGGCATCGGACCATAACTCAGGCACAGCAGCCCGGCACCTCACCGCCTCACGAGAAGGCGAGAGCAGGCTGGGACCTCACACCCCAGTGCGCGCCGGTAGTCTGTACAAATCAGCACCACAATCCTGGAACCCTAGCGCCACACTGCTCGGTGCATGGCTGGGTGACAGTGATGATGCCTTGACGCCCCGCTTCATCGACCCGTTCTCGCCGGGGCGCGAGCCTCTCAAACACGAGCCAATGCCAGTGGTGCCCCCCAAAGGCTCTGCCATGTTGCGACTACATTCTACCCCAGTCACGGGCACTGGCCCCGCGGCAGGATTTGGAGATTCGCGCTCGCTCGCTGCTTTCGTCGCCGATGCTGAGCAGAGCGCAGCAAGGAGCCAGTCGACTCCAGACGCGGCGCCCACCAAGACGGGCTCCACATTCTTTAGCCGCTTCGAGCGTGCATCTCGAAGCACAGCACCTCTACGTGCCCGAGCGTCGGATGCGTCAATTGATATCTCTCGGAGACACGGCGATTCGGACACATCGAGGTCATCGAGCCCCTATCTTCAGCCATCTGCGGCGGCTTCGCAATCGCGACTAGGAGCCAAAAGCTTCGGGCGTAGCAGCTTCTCACGCCTGCGAGCATCTGGTAACGCTGGTCTTGCTGCACTCGCATCGGTCATGGACAAGAACCCGGGTGGAACAACATCGACCGGCCGAGCGCCAGACGATAGCGGGTATATCACCGACGCTCAGAATCGAGAGCCAGCAGCTGCCAAATCAAGTCATAGTTTATTATCATATGCCGGAGATTCAAGCAGTCTCCCACTTGGAGTGAGCCGATCGGGATCTCGACTTGGCCTCACGAACCTAGGCTGGTCGCGAGATCGCAAAGACTCTAGCAGGACATGTGCCGACCAGAACCCAACGCGCTCCCGCACACCTAGCATCTCACGTGCGCTTTGGGCTTGAAGCGAGTCAAAGTCAACAAGTGTCCTCGGGTCGTGTAGTGTTATGATTGGCTGGTCTTGCTCCTTATGACGCTACTCCCATTACCATTGCCTTCAGATTGTGCCGCCCCCAGGGCCAGCATCCGCCTGTAACGATACCCTTCCCTGCTTCGAGGGGGCGAACGCATATTATACT